TCTACCTTTACCAGAGAGCTGTAGAGTCACAGAGGACAAAAGCTAGAAAACCATAAAAGAAACAAACATAACAAGAAATAAAAAAAAAATAAAAAAAACAAAACCCCAAGTAAAACCACCTGCTCTAGGTTATCACAGACTCAGAAAGGCAACTGAACCTGAGCGGTTCCAGCCGAGAATCAGGAGGGTGAGGCATACGCCTTCTGCCCTGGGGGAGAGCAGTGCACTGATGGGAATGCTTCAGCAAGGTGGCTGTGAACAGGTTTGCCAGGCACCGTTTGAAGACGGGCACCACGCAACACGAGAGGATCAGGACCAGGAAAAAAAAAACATACAAATGGGGACTAATAATCTCCTCACCCAAACCTGCCAACCGCAGTTCGCCATCCAATCAAACCAACCCCAGTGGGGAGGAGTAACAGTTTCTTCAGCTTTCATCTCCGAGAGCAGGCTGTTAAGATGATTAATAGACATGGAAATGTTTCCAGAGACATCTGGGAGGTAAGAACAACACGACGGACCTATCACGTGACAGAGACCACCTTGAGAGGCTAATAACAGATCCAAATCTTAGGTTTGGGTAAGCTCTCATTGCCCTGACATGGAAAAGTTTAAGTACACTGGTTGGAGTCCTAACTGGGCAAAATCTGGTCAATCGCCACAAAATGGTGATCAGACTCCATGACAATGGTCTGTGTGATGCCTGTGGCACTGAATTAGAGACCTCTTTGCACTACTTAGACCACTGCCTGGTCCTGAGCAGTCAAAGAAAAAGAAATCTTGGGGACCCATTTATGGATCCTGAGAAGCTCAGAACACTGAAAGTTTCTAACCTTATGTCCTTCATCCAAGGAACACAAAGGTCTGAATAAAGACCAGTGTCTTTTTGGGGAGAGCAGTGTGCCTACTTATGAGGCCCTCACTCATGTGGGCTCTTTATTCATTCCCAGTCACCATAACCACAACCATTCTCTGAAGGAGACATTATCTTGATGGGAACATATATTGTTTTAAAACGTGTAAACCTTTCTGCATTGATTTGCCTTTCCAGATATGTAAGCTACTGATGCCAGAGGAGTTTATGCATCCTCATACCATCAGAGAGTCAGGCTGGATGGTCCCTCTTCTCTTTGGTCAACATGTTCTCACTTCCTACTTGTCATTTATGGAAGCTTAGTCAGGCTATCTCTGCATCACTTATCATTAATTGATGTGTCGAATTAGGTTTTAGTCTTAGAATTAGTGATTGAGTTTAGGGATCAGAGTTACTGAGTAGGTTTAGGTAGTAAAGTCAGAGTTGGATGTTTATGGTTAATAGAGGTTACACTTAGGTTTAACGGTCATGGTTAGGATTATGGTYAGTTGTTACACATTTTATATGATAATAGGCTCCTCCTTGTTCTCATATCGTCAATTAATAACGAGGTGATCACCCGGTGCATCAATAAGTGATACAGAGGGAGACTGACCAAGCGTCCATATAGTACATGATGACTAGGGAGTGAGAATGTTCTGCTTTAGTAGAGGCTTGGCTTTCGTGCTCTCCAACTAGAACTTCGAACTTCAGTTTTCCACTTAAAATCAGTCCATTTTAAATTAGCTTTGATCCAGAGTAGAAGGTGGGTGTTCTAAATGGTGTTTCACCCTCCTATTTTTTTCTAATCCCTTATTTTTCCATTTATCTTTGTCACACAATTGCACAAAATTGCAGACTTTCTCTAAAAATAACAGAATCTTTACACCTTAAGGTACACAGATCTAAAATAAGTTCTGCTCGTGTGAAAAGACTGAGACAAATAAATTAAAATGTGCACATAGTCTGTTAGATATGCACAAAGCCAAATAGCGATGTCACATTAAAGCTCATTAAGTGTCCAGGCTCTCTGTCACACTCTGCCACTTCAGTCAAGCCTATGTCTGCGTGTTTGTTTTGTTTTTCAGCGTGGGAGACGTGTTACCAGAAAATACACTTAACAGAACATATTTAACTGAGTCATAACGATGGCTTGTGGGTGTATGTGTGTCTTTTTGTGTGTGTAAACAGGCAGCAGTGGCAACGAGAGGCAAGACTGTGACCCATTTGAGCTACAGGCTTGCTGTTTGTTTGACTCACTTACAAGGAGTGAATTTAGATTATTATCTACAGTATATCTTATATCTTACTTTTGATCCTTTATATGCAAGAAGGCACCAATCTTAACTGCTACTTGAAGCAATAGTTTAGATCTTTTAAAGTGGGCTTGTTTTTTGAACATGGTGGTATGTTGACTGTACAAATTTCTATTAAGTTAACTCAAAATATGCAAACTTGATCAAATTACTTGGACTCTACTCACTGACTTACAGAAAGTTGAATCAACATATTTGTTTTTTACAGTGAAGAGCTTTCATTAATAGTTCGGTTATTAATTTTCCATAACTGTTCAGAATCTTTTTAAAATATGTGAACAATGTCTTTAAGTATGTGACAGTTTAGCACAGGGGTGTTAATCTCATTTTCACCAAGGGTCACATGAGCATTATGGTGGCCCAGTTGTTTTTAATTTTAATGTTTTGTGTTCAACTTTAACTAAACAAGAAACATCACGTTCTCATCACATTATTACAGCTGAGCACCGCTAACAAATAATAACTGAACTCTACGTGGTATTTYGTGCATAGAAATAGCATTTTAACAAATCCTATAAAAACTGAAAAGCACTATGTGTACAACTGACTAAATGTGAAATAACTAATACAGAAATACTATTTAAAGTAACATTAAGAGAGTTTTACTCACTGTTTAGTTGTGAGTAGCCACCATCTTGAATTCTGACAGAGAATTCCCACTGGAAGTGGCGTTGCAGTTTAAATTTACAACTTAAAAGGGGAAATTCCCCACTTCCAGTACAACTGGACCTGAGCAAAAGTAGAAGCCTCAAATACAGCAATTATTCAATCCCAACGTTTTCAGCTAAATCTGGTTCTAAATATAGGTAAAACAAAGTGCATGCTGTTTTCTGGTAGGAAGAAGATGCCGCCAGTGGCCTCATTTCTTACCTCATTTGATGGTACCCCCATTGAGGAGGTGGTCTCTTACAAATATCTGGGAATTATTATCGACAATAACATTTCTTTTGCCATGCACATTGATTGCTTAATTTAAAAAATGAGGATGCAATTAAGCTTCCTTTATAGGAATAAACTATGCTTCTCATTGGCCGTTAGGAAGCGGCTTATCATTGCCATCTTCCTTCCCGTTTTGGATTTTGGTGATTTAATTTATATGAATGCCCCAGTAYGTTCACTCCATCTCCTGGACGCAGCCTATCATGGAGCGTTAAGGTCCATGACTGGTAGTCAGTTCTCAACTCATCATTGTACCCTACTGTCTTTGACTGGTTGGTTTCCATTGGCTGTCAGGTGGCTTATTCACCGGCAGTGCTTTATCTACAAGGCAATTCTTGGTCTTTTACCCACTTATTTGTGTGAGTCTCTGAAGAGGAAGGAGTGTGGCAGGCGGGGCCTTCGATCACAAAATATTGTCAGTTCCTACGATCAGAACAAACTTTGGGAAGCAYGCATTTAGCTATGCAGCCCCTTCCACACGGAATAACTTGCAAAGTGATCTGAAATTACAGTTACTCTTACCTGTAGGTCAGTTTAAATCAACCTTATAAAAGCTTTCTCTACCATCACTGACCTGTCAATGCTAGCCATATATTTTATGAAATGAAGTATGCTTTGTAATRTGTTTTTATGCTATATGTTTTGTTTTATTTATTATATTTTTTCTGATATGTTCTCTATGTTACTTGGTTATGTTGTTTGCATGATGTTTTGTTTCTCCTTCACCTTTTCCTTATGGGTGTCTCTGGTACTCGCCAGGCTGACATTGTACATAAGAGGTTATTCTTATTTTTTTGCTTGGTTAAATAAAGGTTAAATAAAATAATAATAATAATAATAATAAAATAAAAAACAGCAAAATGGAGATTTTCCACAACTAAATTGTCTCTGTCTGTCAGCTGCTTATGAACTCCATACACCTCCACCTAGTAGTGGAATAATGTTATTCTGCAGGTGAAATAAYTGACATGCCATAAAGGAGACATAGACTGTATCCAAATTCAGGGATGCATGTTTCAAAGGCCAACTCTCTTGGCCACATTGTGCCGCRTCAAAGGCTGTCCAAATTTGCAGACTCATCCAATTGCGGCCCTAAAGTGCATCCTCCTTTTCCCCAGTTTTAGGGACAGGTCCGGTGAATCCTTCTCAGCCTATCCCAAGTTGCATTGCAGGCTGACCAGAGAATTTTTTTTCTTGTAATGGTGGGTGAAGCAAGAGAAAGGATTAGTTTTAAATAAAAATCAGGTGGTATAAAAATGGAAAGTTTAAAGTAGTTGTGTTGTTATGCTATTTGTCATTTTTCATGCATTTTAATATTCTCATCAGAAATCAAATGAGCTCATTTGGCAGGTCCTTTAGTTGTTCAGTACTGCCTCTATGCTAATTTTGTTAACCCAAGTCCAAATTCACAGCCACTTTTTTCCTGTCTTCAAGATCGACCAAGGATCCTGCMCACCTAGACCTTGTAGGCAGAATCCTTCAAAGGAAACAACCCCTGAATTTGGACACAGCCATAGTTTGGTCAATGCTGRCTTTAAAACARTATACRCTTATTTTAAGACATTAATACACATTTGAAGCTCTCGTTGGCCAGATAAAATGCAGTGGTGGGAGACATTTGGCCCGCAGGCCTTGAATTTGACAAATGTGTTTGCATGTCTTACTCAAAAAATGATAATGAACAGTGTTCTCCCTTTAACTGATAAATTCTCAGTGTAGAAATGAATATTTACTGAAATCTGATTGTGTACTGTCATAATAATCATACTTTTCAGAATTTAACTAGCCTGTTCTTTGTTTAGCCTCTATATTCCTGTCAATGYATTATTGTACAGTTGTAATTAAAACTAGATAAAAATTACGTGATRTATTCCTTAACTGACGCTCCTCACTCCGTTTGAATGGATGATTCTTGCCACCATCATTGCCAACTGCATCGTCCTGGCTCTGGAACAACATTTACCTGATGGAGACAAGACACCACTGTCTGAGCGGCTGGTGAGTTCAACAGAGAACAGGTTTGCTGCAGATAAACATGATGAAATGTTATTTTTAGGGTTCCTCTTTAATATATCATATTTCCATTTGCCCTCTAACTTGTGTCCCCCTCTCTTCATCTGCTTGATCTCCATTTCCTTCTTCAGGATGATACAGAGCCATACTTTATTGGGATCTTCTGCTTTGAGTCTGGAATAAAGATCCTGGCACTTGGTTTTGCCTTCCACAAGAACTCGTACCTGAGAAATGGCTGGAATGTCATGGACTTTGTGGTGGTGCTCACAGGGTAGGTGGCAAGCRCACACAAACACATGCACCATGTGAAAACATGTAGCTGTGTGCTTTGTTTTTCCCCCTGCATCTTTATTTGTCCAGCATTTGCAAAGGCTTTGCTAAAGGTTGACGTATGCTTTACGTGTGTATGCTTATGTGTGTGAGTGTCCTTTCCCCACTCCTCTGCCCTCAAGACCCCATTCTGGGCACGGCAGCAGTCTGATCACAGAGTTGAGCTGCAGGCAGCCAACCACCCAGGTAGTGAACAAATGTCACCTTCGTGTTCACTGAGACACGAGGCAGGGGTGGGGTAAGGGGTGTGGGTAGGCACAGATGGAGTAGGAAAAAAAATGCACACGTAGCCCACCAAGTAGAGACAGAGGGACAACACAGACGAAGGGGGAAACAATAGGAGCCTGCAAAATAAAGACAAATAAAATAATTAGGCTGCAATCACGTTTTAATGAGTACGAATTATAGACAAGGGGAGGAGAAAATCAGTTTGTTTGATTCACAAAAAAATAAAGTTAGTCAGCTAGGGACCTACAATTTTGTTTGGGAGTAATTGAGACTGATTACTAATACATATTCTGATCTTTGTGCCAACTATGTCTGTCTGTTAGCAAAGTATCTCATGAACCACTGGACTGGTTCAAATGAAACCTACAGAAAGTAATCATTAGATATTTTTCAACAATCAATTACCTTTCAAAGCCAAACCAATTTAAGCTGGAATCCACAGCCAACTTACATTAGAAAACACAAAACTAGATGTCATTCAGTCAACTTTGCAAATATTTTGCTAAAATTCAGTGTGATTTCACCTGAGAGTTTTATACAACATATAGTCCAAGTGCTACTTATTGCACAAGATCTTTGTGTAAAATTAAACAATTAACTGTTGGAGTCAGTCCTGGTTGTCTGTTAAACAAATATCTCATAAACCACAAGGTAGATTTTAATGGAACTTTCTTAAAATGATGATTGGATGTGCTTCTACAAATAATTAACTTTTGGAGTCAATCCGAGACAAAATGACCACCACAACTAATCGATATTAGCCAACACAAAAATAATTATAACCTTGTCAAATTTACAGATACTGAGTTAAAATTAAATATGGTAGTAGCTGAGACACATTTACAATACATACTTAGAGGGTGATATATTATGATATTGTAGGAAATTGCACATTGTTTTCACACCAACATGGCGACATCTGCCATTTTTCTTATATTTGTTTAATATGGCTATATTTCTGTGTGCATGTAAGGACTGTATGAGTCACATAAACATTGTGTGCATCTTTGCTGACAGGGCATCAGTAGAGGGAGAAATTGCCC